GTGGTGGCTCATGCCTGTAATCCCAATTACTCAGGAGGCTGAGGCAGGAGAATCACTTGAACCTGGGAGGTGGAGGTTGCAGTGAGCCAAGATTGCCCCATTGCACTCCAGCCTGGGCAACAAGAGTGAAACTCTGTCTCAAAGAAAAAAATAAAATAGCCAACGGTGGTGTGCACCTGTACTACCAGCTACTTGGGAGGCTTAGGCAGGAGAATCATTTGAACCAGGGAGATGGTGGCTGCAGTGGGCCAAGATTGCCCCCCTGCACTCCAGCCTGAGTGACTGAGTGAGATTCCATTTCAAAAACAAAAAAAACAAACAAAAAAAAAACTGGGAAATACCTGACAGGGCAGGTAGGTAGATGCTGGGCCAGCAAAAACAAGTCCACTACAGATCACAATGGGGAAAATTCAGGAACTGCAAAGTGACATATTATCATTCAATAAAAGGAGGGCGATTTAAACAATCAGACCCATCCCAAGCTGGGACTGGAGGTGTAGTGAGTTCTGTCACAGGAGGTTCCAAGCAAAGACTTGCACTTCTAAAGTTCCTAAGAATTCAAACCTTAAATGAAATCGATCTGAGAACTGATTTGTGATTGGACACCACAATGCTTCCCTCTGTCTCCACTGCTCTTCACTTCTCCAATTCATCATCACAGCTTAACTGTGCAACTGCACATGCCCCCAATTTGTCTTACTGCCTGCCTCCCACTTGCCTGTCTACAATTCATTCTCCAGAGAGCAGGCAGAGGAAACAGTCATTTATTCATTCAATAAGTATTTATTGAGCACTTGGAATACGCCAGGCACTGTTTCAGGAATAGCAATATCAGTGACCAAGAAAGACATAAATCTTGGCCTTCCTCCCAGGAGGAAGGTCGAGATACAAAAAGATAAGATAAGCAAAGAAATCATCACGTGTATCCATGCACAAATGCTCTGAATGTAAAATAATACACCAATCTATCAGGTTACAGATATAAAACTAAAATATTGGATGATATTAGCACATAAATTGAATGGGTAGTCTGAATTAAAGAATTGTAAAGTCCTTGTAGTGTTTGGTGGCCTGGTAAGATAGGAACTTTAATCTTTGATAAGTATGCATGATACATTTCAAGACTACCTTGGACTTTCCTTGCCTCAGGAAGCTGAGGCAGGAGAATTGCTTGAACCCAAGAGGCAAAGGTTGCAGTGAGCCGAGATGGTGCCACTGCATTTCACCCTGGTGGACAGAGTGAGAGTCTGCCTCAAGTAAAAAAAAAAAAAAAGGCCAGGTACGGTAGCTCACACCTGTAATTCTAGCACTTTGGGAGGCCAAGGCAGGAGGATCACCTGAGGTCAGGAGTTCGAGACCAGCCTGACCAATATGGTGAAACCCTGTCTCTACTAAAAATACAAAAATTAGGGAGGCTGAGGCGAGTAGATCACGAGGTCAAGAGATCAAGACCATCCTGGTCAACATGGTGAAACCCCGTCTCTACTAAAAATACAAAAAAATTAGCTGGGCACGGTGGCACCTGCCTGGAATCCCAGCTACTCAGGAGGCTGAGGCAGGAGAATTGCCTGAACCCAGGAGGCGGAGGTTGCGGTGAGCCAAGGTAGTGCCATTGCACTCCAGCCTGGGTAACAAGAGCGAAACTCCGTCTCAAAAAAAAATACAAAAATTAGCTAGGTGTGGTGGTGTGAGCCAGTAGTCCCAGCTACTGGGGAGGCTGAGGCAGGAGAATTGCTTAAACCCGAGAGGCGGAGGTTGCAGTGAGCCGAGATCATGCCACTATACTCCAGACTGGGCAACAGAGTGACACTCCATCTCAAAAAAAAATAAAAAGAAAAAGAACGACTGCAGCAATGCATTGTCAACCACAAATCTACTTCTTAGAATTTATTTAGACCCCTGTTAGACTTTTTTATTTTATCCATCGTATCTCTTAATTTCTCATTAGTATTTCTCATCTTCTTATCTTTTATATGCTATATTCTGAGTGCTTTCTGAAGATTTTGTGCCAATTCCCTAATTCTTTCTCTTGTTCTAATATAACATACAACTCATTTTTAAAGTTTCAATAGTTACGTTTCTAACAGTTTAATTCTTTTTATAATATTCCTGATTGATTTCTGTTCATTTTTGCTATTCCTTCTTTTATATCTATATCTATATATTTCATACGTAGCTATTTTGTATTCAAGCTGATTTTCCCAATTTCGGAAATCCTGGAAAGTCTGAATAATTGTTGCTTTTTCTACTGTTTCTCATTTGAGGCTGTTTATTCCTCTGTGGTCATGAGCTCATATGTTTTGAAAAACCTAGAGGCCTAAGTTGAGGATGCCTTCGTCAGAGATGATTACGTTTGTTTCCTCTGGGATCCTGATGGTGCTCCTGACCTGGGACCACTTTGGCCACTTCCGAGCTCCCCTGGCTGATTTTCTAGTCCCTGGTCTAGCTCAGCCCCATTGCCACTGGTCCATGGCTTCGTCTGCTGGTTGAAATGCTGAAATGGGATTTGCCTTTGGATCACCTTTGCCTTTCAGGTATGTTCACTGCTCTGCGCAGGTATTAGGTACCTTTCAGAAGGGGTTAGGAGTGCTTGGAGAATTTTTATTCTTCCTATTGTGAAATGTGACCAAAAAGATATGTTTTCTGCATGCTCTACTTGTTTTGAAACAGAAAACCTCTTCATTCGGAATAAATGCCATTTGTCCTCTGTTTTCTCCCTCTTTCCTTCCTTCCTTTCTCTTTCTTTTGGGAAATCTACCTTTCCTCATTCTGAAATAGCATTTTTCTGAGATCTCCCCTACTCTTTCCCAGACTTCTCTTTTTTTAGTCTGTCTCTCCCTCACCCCTACTCTTCCTTTCTCCACTCTTTAGAGGATGGAGTTTTCCAGAATCCCATCCTTTTTTCTTCTTACAGTTTATTTCATCTATAGCTATGATTTCATCCACAGTATCCTAACAAATCTGTATTTCTAGCTCCAAAAGAACTCTAAGTTGGCCGGGAGCAGTGGCTCATGCCTGTAATCCCAGCACTTTGAGAGGCTGAGGCAGGCAGATCACTTGAGGTTGGGAGTTCAAGACCAGCCTGACCAACATGGAGAAAACTCGTCTCTACTAAAAATACAAAGTTAGTCAGGCGTGGTGGTGCATGCCTGTAATCCCAGCTACTTGGGAGGCTGAGGCAGGAGAATCACTTGAACCCGGGAGGTGGAGGTTGTGGTGAACCAAGATTGCACCATTGCACTCCAGCCTGGGCAACAAGAGTGAAATTCCATCTGAAAGAACAAACAAGCAACAACGACAACAACAACAACAAACCCTAAGTTACAAATCTATATTTCAAACTTCCTTCTTGGAATCTCCATTAGGATTTTCTTTCTTTCTTTCTTTCCTTCTTTCTTTTTTTTTTTTTTTTTTTTGAGATGGAGTTTGCTCTTGTTACCCGGGCTGGAGTGCAATAGCGCGATCTCGGCTCACCGCAACCTCCGCCTCCTGGGTTCAGGCAATTCTCCTGCCTCAGCCTCCTGAGTAGCTGGGACTACAGGCACGCGCCACCATGCCCAGCTAATTTTTTTGTATTTTTAGTAGAGACGGGGTTTCACCATGTTGACCAGGATGGTCTTGATCTCTTGACGTCGTGATCCACCCGCCTCGGCCTCCCAAAGTGCTGGGATTAAAGGCATGAGCCACCACGGCCGGCCTGTTTTTTTTTAAATTTTTATTTCAATAGCTCCTGGGGTACAAGAGTTTTTTTATTACATAGACGAAATACATATATGGTGGTGAATTCTGAGATTTTAGCACACCCATCATCCAAGTAATGCACATTGTACCTAACGCATAGCTTTTTATCCCTAGCCCCTCTCCCATCCTCCCCTGTCTGAGTCTCCCAAGTCCATTATTTCACTCTGTATGCCTTTGCACAGTCATAGCTTAGCTTCTGCTTATAGGTGAGAACATACAGTTTTTGGTTTTCCACTCCTGTATTACTTCGCATAGAATAATGGCCTCCCGCTCTTCCAAGTTGTTGCAAAAGATAGTATTTCATTCTTTTTTTGTGTGGCTGAGTAGTATCCCATGCTGTGTGTATACCACATTTTCTTTATCTACTCCTTAGTCACTGGGCACTTAGGTTGGTTCCACATCTTTGCAATTGGGAAGTGTGCTGCCATAAACATATGCGTGAAAGCCTACTTCACTTTAAGCGGTGAGGGCCACAGGCATGTCTGTCTTGTCTATCTTGGCACTATTCTCGGTCCCAAGCCCACAGCCTGACACCTAATAATTACTAACTGGACGCATCACTGCTTTGTCGCTCGTTTCTGTTTCATAGACCCTTTTTGCCAACCAATCTGAACTTTTTGCAGTAACACAAGTGTGCCCTCCTCTCTAAATTCTAGATGAGTTGCAATTTACCCATTTATTCATCTTTTTTGAAATTATTACTATCGAAACCTGTGGCTGATACTAGGCTCTGAATGAATAAATGGAAGCAAACTTAGAAGTGCAGCCCAAGAGACAATAAACACTCGAGGAATTGACCAATATAAGGAACTGCATACAAGAACAGTTTTTCCCCAGGCGTAAGTGCAAGTATGAGGCAAACAGACGTCCTCTTGCCCTGTCTGGTCTGGGAACCATATTTAATTAATCAAGACTTTGTAGAGTGAATTGGAACAATATCAAAACAAAACAAAGGGCAAACAAGCCAACTTCTGAGAAAGAACTGATTGAAAAGGTCATCAACTCCCCTAAACCCCAAGTCTAAACTAGAGACTCGCAGCTTAGCGGAGCCCCGCTCCCTGAAGCCCCGCCCCTGGGAAAGCGGGGCCTGCGGGATTGGCGGGGCTTTCCCGCGAGGCCACGCCCTCCCTGGGCGGCCCGTAAGCCCGCCTACTGCCCCGTAAGCCCGCCTACTGCCCCTTAAGCCCGCCTGCTGCCCCCTCCGTTTCCTAGGAGATGAAACACACAGGACGCCGGAGGGGAGTGAACTAGGTAAGGGGCCGGCGCGGGCAGGTAATCCCGAGCGGGCTGCGGGGCCGTCACCCTCCCTCCGACCCAGCCGGAGCCCGACCTGTCAGGCTGGCCGGGCATGTCCCCTCGGCGCCCTGTGCTACCAGGGCCAATCTCCGCCGAGAGACGGGTCCCGGACGTGGGTAAGTGAAGAACTGGAAGGAGTAGGGTCCCCCGGAGGGGCGGAGCAGGCGCGAAGGGTCTGCCCGAGGGAAGACTGTCGGTGTCTCCCAGGCCTCCTGACCACTCTCCCGCCTCCTGGGCCGCTGGGGCCGGCCAGTCGTGGGAGGATGACGGCGGGGCGTCCCTCAGCCTGAGAGACCCCGCCCCAAACCTCTCCCCCGGGGTCTCCAACCTCCGCCCTCCTCCGCTTCCCTGCTGCGTGGGCTGGCGGTGGAAACTGCTTAAAGGACAGAGGCAGGATTGGGTCTCCGGGAGGCAGCGGCACTGTGTTGCGGAACTGTTGCAAAATCTAAAACGAGGGAGAAAAACAGGAACTAGGTCCGATTCCAGCCCTCGCTGGTGCATCCCAAAGGATGATCAGGTGAAAGTGGAATCCCGCCCAACTGTGTCCCATCCACCGCTCCGGACTCCCCCACTCCTTCCAGCACGCGGCCCCCGGAGCCTTTTAAGGGCCCTGGTTTGCAAAGTCGGACTAGAAAGCGTGTGACGAAAACGGACCCTTTTCTGCAAATAATGCGTTTTAATTTAGGGACACGTCAAGAGTGCGATGTCGAGAGCAGTGAAACTGGTTTTTAGGTCGGGCATGGGGGCTCACGCCTGTAATCCCAGCACTTTGGGAGGCTGAGGCGGGCGGATCACGAAGTCAGGAGATGGAGACCAACCTCGCCAACGTGGTGAAACCCCATCTCTACTAAAAATGCAAAAAAAAATAGCTGGGCGTGGTGGCGCCCGCCTGTAGTCACAGCTACTCGGGAGGCTGAGGCAGAATTGCTTGAACCCAGGAGGCGAAGATTGCAGTGAGCTGAGATCGAGCCTCTGCACTGCAACCTGGTCGACAGTGCGAGACTTGTCTCAAAACAAACAAACAAAACTGGTTTTTAGTGGTGAGTGATCACAATTCTACAAGGAAAGGGCTGTATGAATTGTGTTTAGATAATCGTTTCAAAGAAACAGACATCTAATGATAACGGAATTCTCAAAGAGGGAACCAAAAGTTATCGGTCTTAATTTATTAAACAGAACAACCCATTGAGTGAAATAATGATGGAGACAAAAGTGACTTTCCAGCCTTTCGGTCGGGCCCCGCCTCCCCGGCCCTCCAATTCCCGAGGCTTGACCTGGAGGGAGAAATTTCGCCCCGACCTCGCCACTGACTGCTTCCACAGCAGGCACTGAGCGGGACATTTAACTTCTTCGTCTGGCTGGACTTTTATTTGTGTGAGAGCTTTGAAATAATTTGTAAATGTCAGCACAGAGAACTGTGATCTTCTATTTTAAGATAGAATCTTTGCTTTCCCGTTGTAATACTCCTCATTTAATTTCTGTAAACCTTTGACTTCGTTAGTTTGGGATCTTTCTCCTGTGTTGCTTTTTAAAGAATTTAGTGACTTTTAAAAGGTTAATTATTGCAAGCGTTAATGCCAGCCTCGGAGTGACGTAATTACAGTATGTTCTAGAAAGCCAAGTTGAAGACATCCAAGCTTTATCTGTTCAGTGATTGGCAGACACGAGTTTTACCCTTCATTTACCCTCTATTTTAATCTTCTTTAATCCTATCTAAATCTCTTAATAGCTGGCAGAAGCTGTTGAGAATAAAGCCCAGATTTACAACAGTTGTGCACTTAATCAGTAATTATGAACTTAGATTAAAAAGTTGAAAACTAGAATGAGAGGTAAATTATAAGGGTATTTGTTTTTGTGTAGGTCTATAATTAAGCCTCTAAATAAGGGTCTTTTTCTCTAACCATAGGAAAGTCAATAAATATAGCTCAATTGTGGAAAATTCCAAGTTTCTAACAATTCTATTAAATTAATTGAGGATGACAGTTATATTTACTTGGGTTTTGCTTTGTTGCATATGTATCACATATATATGTATATATATTTATGTACATAAGAAACTGTGTAAATATATCCCTATTTTGTAGAATTAGTTTTCCATAGGTCGACAGAGAAGCATATATGCAACCTGTAGAGAAATATTACTGTGTGTGAACTGGAGAACCAGGGGAAGTCTGTGTTTAAGGAACATAGCTTTTTGATTAGGCATCAGTAGTTAGTTGCTTATGTGCTATCAGTTAGTAGGTACCTGGAAATAATGATAACTTAAAAGCTTTACCTTTATATCTATGTCTCTACATGAGACCATTGTCCCTGTATGTTCAGGGGACAGAAGGAACAGTTGTAATAGATCAGCTTCTCACCCTGGGGAGCTGTTGATTTTGTAATTAATATAGTTCGAAAGACGCCTTTCCAAAATTTTTTCTTATGGAGCACAGTATGTAAACTTCTTTTACTTAAAGGTTAGGTAGGACTTAAATGAGACAGATCCTCACAGAGCCACTAATCCGACCTTTTAAAAATGTGTGTCATGGCCATAATCTCACCACTCCACCCGTTAAACAGAAAGGAGCTGGGAAATGGTCATGTTCCTTGCTTATTCTTCCCTCAGTATAAGTATACCCTATCCTATAGCCGTCATCAGTTGAAAGACAATTGGTGTGGCCGGTGTTTATTCAGAAGTTGATTGGTTAGGCCTGGAATGAAGATGCCACGGTAGCCACTCTCAAAGTGCCTGGGTGTGCAGGCCAGGGCCAAAAGTCATCAGTGACTGGACATTCTGTTGTGCTGATCATGCTGGTGCAGCTTCAAGTCACGCTCCCACCCCAGGGCCATGGTGATGGGGGTGGCTGATGGCCTTAATAGTGGAAGAGAGAGGAGTAATTAATCTTATTTTTTCAGGTTGTTGGGCCAATGAAGGTAAAATTTTTGGCACTCTGTTTCCACTTCCTGAATAACACTCGCTGCCGTCATTGCCACGTTACTAGAGGTGCTGCATTAGGAATCTTAAGATGGAGGTTGGGGTACGTGGCTTGAGTTGTGGAGTTTAGTCTGCATGATTTTGGATCAAAGAGGATGTTTCCTTTAGCCTCATTAGGGATAGTAAGAGCCAGCACCAGTTCATAAGAAGAAGATAAGGCTCATGGCTGTAATCCCAGTGTGATTGGGAGGCTGAGGCAGGAGGATCACTTGAGGTCAGGAGTTCGAGATCAGCCTGGCCTACATGGTGAAACCCTGTCTCTACTAAAAACACAGAAGTTAGGCAGGTGTGGTGACACATGCCTGTAGTCCCAGAAAGCCTGTTCTAGGAAATCTTAAGTACTTTGACAGCTACCACACGTCCTTGTTGGTCTTAAATTTCTTTGTATATAGAGAAGCAATTTCTATGATTTAAATTAAAGTGCTACAGTGAGAGAAAAATAACTCTTTGATTGAAGTACTAAGTTGTAAAGGCACTTTAAAACAAACTACAGACCTGCTTCGGAGATACTGTGTGTTTAGCTCCAGACCACGGCAATAAATTGAATATTAAAATAAAGCAAGTCACGCATGTTTTTTGGTTTCAAAATACATATACAAATTATGTTTACTTTATTCTGTAGTATGTTTAGTGTGCAGTAGCATTTTCTCTAGAAGAATAATGTACATACCTTAATTAAAAATATATCTTATTGCTGCGAGGTGTGATGGCTCACGCCTGTAATCCCAGAACTCTGGGAAGTGGAGGTGTGGGGGATCACTTGAGGTCAGGAGTTCGACACCAGCCTAGCCAACATGGTAAAACCCCGTTTCTACTAAAAATACAAAAAAAATAGCCTGGGCATGATGGCTCATACCTGTAGTCCCAGCTACTTGGGAGGCTGAGGCAGGAAAATTGCTTGAACCTGGGAGCAGCAGTTGTAGTGAGTTGACATGGCGCCACTGCACTCTAGCCTGGGTGACAGAGCAAGACTCTGTCTCAAAAATAAATAAATAAAATGTTATTGCTAAAAAATGCTGATGATCTGAGCCATCAGTGAGTCACAATCTTTTTGCTGGTGGAGGGTTTTACTTCTATGTTGATGGCTGCTGGCCCATCAGGGTGGTGGCTGCTGAAGGCTGGGATGGCTGAGACCATTTCTCAGAATAAGACAACAATGACATTTGCTCCATTGCTTGACTCTTCCTTTCATAAAAGATTTCTCTATAATATGTGAGACTGCTTGATAGCATTTTTACCTACAACAGCACTTCTTCCAAAATTGGAGTCAGTATCCTCAAATCCTGCCACTGCTTTGTCAACTCAGTTTATGTAATATTCTAAATCCTTTGTTGTTGGCTAGGCACTGGCTCACGCCTGTAATCCCAACACTTTGGGAGGCAGAGGTGGGTGGATCACTTGAGGCTAGGAGTTCAAGACCAGCTTGGCCAACATGGCGAAACCCCATCTCTACTAAAAATATAAAAGTTAGCCAGGTGTGGTGGTGCGTACCTGTCATCCCAGCTACTGGGGGGTGAGGGAATGATGGTGACAGGGGCAGGGGCTGAGGGACAAGAATCACTTGAACCTGGGACACAGAGGTTGCTGAGCCAAGATTGAGTCACTACACTCCATCTTGGGTGACAGAGTAAGACTCTGTCTCAAAAAAAAAAACTTTGTTGTTTTTTTAGCAATGTTAATAGCATCTCTACCAGGAGTTGATTCCATTTCAATAAAACATTTTCTTTGTTCATCCATGGACAGTTCCTCATTCATTCAAGTTTGATTATGATATTACAGCATTTCAGTCACATCTTTGGGCTCTACTCTTTTTTATTTAAAAAAATTAATTTTTATTTTAAAAACTAAAAAAAAATTTCTTTAGAGACAGAGTCTTACTCTGTCACCCATGATGGAGTTTAGTGGTGTGATCATAGCTCACTGTAACCTTGAATTCCTGGGCTCAAGAAATCCTTGTGCCTCACCCTCCCAAGTAGCTGGGACTACAAGCATGCCACCAAGCCCAGCTAATTTTTTAGTTTTTTAAAGAAGGGTGTGATATGGTTCCCAGGCTGGTCTCAGACTCCTGGCCTCAACAATCCTCCTGCCTTGGCCTCCCAAATCACTGGGATTACAGAAGTCAGCCACCATGCCCGGCTATGTTTCTTATTTCTTTGTATGAATCTAGTGTGACACTAAATCCTTAAATTTTTCTTAGTTTTATGTAAAATAAAATACCATGTTATTTAAATAGAATATGAAAATTTAAAATAATGCTATTTCTTTCGTATAAAAGTTTGCTTTATATTTGTCTTACCCAATTGGAGTACTTATATTTCACAGAAAATCAACAAGCAGTACAGTTTTCAACTTAATATGCCAAATTAAATATGATACAAAAACTGATTCAAAGAAGGGATATAATATAGATGTCGATTTTCCAAGGTCTGATTTGTAATAATATAGATTATATTGAGTAAAAAAGGAATAACACAAGCCATTATGCCATTATTGAACATAAATAGCACAGTACCATGTAAATGAGGCATTTACCAAGTGAGTATTATAGTGAATTTCATTTCACATAGCACAAATGACTTACTGACAAATATCTAACACACTAGTATTTATATTATTTATAACTTTTCCCTGTGCTCTAAGTTGTCAGTACAATTTTTAGAGAGACTTGTTTATGAAAATTCATATCCTTATTTTCTTTTTTAGGGTGTTCATAAGATTGGAAGTGCTGTTTCCTTGCCAGATTCCTTCATGCCATAGCTCATGAACCTACGTAATCTTGAGGAAGAGCCTATATTTAATGATGACACACATGTCACCAGCATAGCAACAACAGTGTGAGGACAAACACAATTAAAATTAAGAAGCATTCAGATTTATATTCAACGAGGAAGCCATTTCAATCAACAACTTCTGCTGCGTTATTTTTCCAAGATGAACCGATACACAACCATGAGACAGTTGGGGGATGGCACCTATGGGAGTGTGCTTATGGCCAAGAATAACGAGTCCGGGGAGCTGGTGGCCATCAAAAGGTACCGTGTGTGATATTGCCAAGTTCACCTTTAAAAACACTGCTCTTTACTGTCCTGTCCTTGCCTAAGAATATATACAGGCACAGGCCAGGTGTGGTGGTGGTGGCTCACGCCTGTAATCCCAGCACTTTGGGTGGCTGAGGTGGGCGGATCACTTGAGGTCAGGAGTTTGAGACCAGCCTGGCCGCCATGGTGAAACCTCATGTCTACTAAAAATACAAAAATTAGCTGGACATGGGGGTACATGCCTGTAATCCCAGGAGGCTGAGGCATGAGAATCTCTTAAACCTGGGAGGTGGAGGTTGCAGTGAACCAAGATCACACCATTGCACTCCAGTCTGGGTGACAAGAGTGAAACTCCATCTCAAAAAAAAAAAGAATATATACAAGCACAGACTGGGCGCAGTGGCTTACACTTGTAATCCCAGCACTTTGGATTGAGGTCAGGAGTTCAAGACCAGCCTGGCCAACATGGTGAAACCCTGTCTCTACTAAAAATACAAAAATTAGCCAGCCATGGTGGCACATGCCTGTAATCTCAGCTATTCAAGAGGCCGAGGCAGGAGAATCTCTTGAATACAGGAGGCAGAAGTTGCAGTGAGCTGAGATTGCGCCACTGCACTCCAACCTGGGTGGACAGAAAGAGACTATGTCTCAAAAAAAAAAAAAGAATATATACAAGCACAGAAACAGGGGTCTAGTTTAGACCAAATGCTATTTTGGCTCATGTGGAATGTCATTCTTGGAAAAGAAATTGCCAAAGAGGAATTCTGCTGATTCTCATGTATGTTACTTTGTCTGGCTTGTGCAGCTACACTGATAAACCAAAAAATATAAGTGCCTCTCTTTTTATGTATAATACATTTGGACTGAAGCTACAGGTAATCTTGGGAATGTTTTGCCAGATTTATTTGTTGGTTTTCATTTTCATTTTTGTTTTTGAGATGGGGTCTCACTCTGTTGCCCAGGCTGGAGTGCAGTGACATGATCATGGCTCATTGCAGTCTTGACCCACCAGGCTCAAGCAATCTACCCACCTCAGCCTCCCAAAGTGGTGGCATTACAGGTGTGAGCTACCATGCCTGGCCTATTTTTCACATTTAAAGTTGAGGGCAGAGTAGCGTTTGTTTTTGTTTTTGTTTTTTTTTTTTTGAGACCAAGTTTTGCTCTTGTTGCCCAGGCTGGAGTACAGTGGCGCCATCTTGGCTCACTGCAACCTCTCACTCCTGGGTTCAAGCAATTCTCCTTCCTCAGCCTCCCGAGTAGCCGGGACTACAGGTGCCCGCCACCACACCCAGCTAATTTTTGTTTGTGTGTTTTTAGTAGAGACAGGGTTTCACCATGTTGGCCAGGCTGGTCTTGAACTGTTGACCTCAGGTGATCCGCCCGTCTCAGCCTCCCAAAGTGCTTGGATTACAGGCGTGAGCCACCGTGCTGAGCCTTGAGCTTATTATTTCTTTAAAACAAGGTCTCAAAATCAGATGGTATTGATAATATCAAATTGAGTTCTGAATGTTATTTTCCTGAACTTATTGATTAAATAGAATTGATTGTTGTCAATTTGTTTGTTTTTATTCCACTGTGTTTATCTATTGCCACATAACAAAATGCCCCCAAAGCTTAGTGATTTAAAATAAGAAGAAACATTTGTTAATTTACATAGTTTCTGTGAGTCAGGAATTTAGAAGTAGCTTACCTGGGTCGTTCTGGCTTGGGTTCTTTCATGGCACTCAGATAATTGGCCCAAGTTGCAGTCATCCGAAGGCTTGACTGGGGCTGGAGGATCTACTTCCAAGGTGGCTTACTCTTAGTTTGCTAGGGCTGCTGTAACAAAATATCACAGACTGGGTAGCTTAAACAACAGAGATTTATTTCCCCACAGTTCTGGAGGCAAGAAGTGTGAGATCAAGGTATCTGCAGGTTGGTTGCTTCTAAGACCTCTCTCCTTGGCTTGCTTGTAGACATATCCTCTCTAGGTCTTTTTTTTTTTGACAGAGTTTTCTTGCTCTTGTTGCCCAGGATGGAGTGCAGTGGTGCAATCTCAGCTCACTGCAACCTCCACCTGCCGGGTTCAAGTGATTCTCCTGCCTCAGCCTCCTGAGTAGCTGGGATTACAGGCATGTGCCACCACGCCTGGATAATTTTTGTATTTTTAGTAGATACAGGGTTTTTCCATGTTGGTCAGGGTGGTCCTGAACTCCTGGCCACACGTGATCCACCCACCTTGGCTTCCCAAAGTGCTGGGATTACAGGCGTGAACCACTGCACCTGGCCCTCTCTAGGTCTTTATATGATCTTCTCTTTGTGCATGTCTGTGCCCACATTTCCTTTTTTTCTTTTTTTTCCAAGCAGGGTTTCACTCTGTCACCCAGGCTAAAGTATGGTGGTGCAAACATAGCTCACCAAAGCCTCAACCTCCTGGGCTTGAACCATCTTCTTGCCTGAGCCTCCAGAGTAGTTGGGACTATAAACATATACCACCACAGCTGGCTGGTTTTTTTTTTTTGAGACAGAGTTTCACTCAGTTACCCAGGCTGGAGTGCAGTGATACGATCCTGGCTCACTACAACCTCTGCCTCCTGGGTTCAAGCAATTTTCCTGCCTCAGCCTCCCGAATAGCTGGGATTACAGGCACCCACTATCATGCCTGACTAATTTTTTTATTTTTAGTAGAGACGGGATTTCACCATCTTGGCCAGGCTAGTCTTGAATTCCTGACCTCAGGTGACCCACCCAACCTCGGCCTCCCAAAGTGCTGGGATTATAGGTATGAGCCAACACACCTGGTCACCTAATTTTTTAAAAAAGTTTTTGTAGAGATGGGGTCTTGCCATATTGCCCAGGCTCCTCTTATAAGGACACCTGTCATATCAGATTTAGGCCTACATGAAAGACCTTATTTAACTTTAATTACCTTTCTAAAGGGCCTATCTTCAGACACCATCACACTGTGAAAGTCTGGGGGCTAGGACTTCAACATAGGAGTTTTGGGAGACACAATTCAACCCATCACACTCACTCAGGGTTGGCATGTTTGTACTGGCTGTTGGCAAGAGGCACCACAGCTTCCTTTAACAAGGCTCCTTCCCTGGGCCTTTCCAGAGGGTTCTTTGAATAGTCCGAGGACATGGCAGTTGGCTTCCAGCAGAACCAGTCCCGGACTCATCAGATACACATCTCCACATCACACATCAACCAACTTATGACAATCTAAAATTTAAATGCTTTAGCAAATGTTTTAAAATATTATGATCTAAACCATTACATGTACAAGGAAATAACTTAAAAAATATTTTTAAACAGTCATTATCATCAGATAAATACATATATAATATACAATAATGGAAATGAAAAATTTATTGAATAGGCTTAACAAAATTCAGTACTAATTTGTGATTAAATGAATTTAATAAAAACAAATCTTATGATTTTTTTTTTAAAAAAACCTCTTGGATGGGCGCAGTGGCTCACACCTATAATCTCCCAGCACTTTGGGAGGCCAAGGCAGGAGGATTGCTTGAGCCCAGGAGTTTGACACATCTTGGCAACATGGTGAAACCCCACCTCTACAGAAAATACAAAAATTAATTGGGCATGGTGGAACACATCTGTAGTCCCAGCTACTCAGGAGGCTGAGGTGGGAGGATGGCTTGAGCCCAGGAGGTCGAGGCTACAGTGAGCCAGGATTATGCCACCACTACGGCACTCCAGCCTGGGTGACCTAGTGAGACACTGTCTAAAAAACAAACAACCTCTTAGCAAAGCTGTATATAAAAAGAATAAAAGAATATAAAAGAAAAAAGATAAAACTTCCCTAACCTGAGAAAACCAGTGTAATTCATATGAATGTGAAATATCAGAAGTAATGTCAGTACAGTTAGTTTGAAGACTGAATGCCTGCTGATATTAGGATTGCACTGGTGATCCTCACTACTGCAGTAAGGCAGGAACCTAAGAAATGAGGGTATTAGACAAAATGAGCCAGAATAGCCCTCATTTGTAGATGAAATGATGATGTAAATTCACACAAAGAAATGCTTTATTATACACAAATACATCTGTATATAAAAATATTTTTAAAGGCCGGAAAAGATACACCCAAAACTCATGATAGCTGTGGCTTCTGGGGAGGAGGGTAGAAGACTCAGAAGGGGTGTTGGGTCATGGGTACAGTCCCACAGATGGTTATTACTGTCTGGTTTTATGTGACAAAATGTTCATAATTTTTTTCTGAGTGGCAAAAATACGGTATTTGTTTTATCCTTCCATTTCATCAAATGGGATATTGGGCCTCGGCTGCATGGACCTAGGTAAAGTCTTAGGAGAACTGAGGAGTGAAATCCTGTAAGAAGTCAAATAAATTGAGGGCTGATAGGAGGCCATAAGTATGTAATCTGGGAGCATTGTTGGTGAATGAACTACTATCTAACCAAAAGAAACCTAAATAGGGATTCATTTTTCTCATATAATAAAACACCTTGGCAGAATTCTCCCTTTGAATTATGCACTTTATATGAGTGAATTGTGTAGTGTGTGGATTCTAATTGTATAGTATGTGGATTCTATCTCAATGAAACTGTTGTTAGTAACAAACAAACAAAAAGCCCTGAGATAGGCAGCCCAGGGCGAGTACCTTGTCCCAGTGATGTCATCACAAACCTAGGCTCTTCTGTCTTCAAAAAATAGCTCCTGCAGCTCCGGGCATTGAGTGCGAGCTCCAAGCAGGAAGCAATGGGAGGAGCTGAGGCAGTTAGTTACTGTACTCTTTAAATTGGGAAAGCCAAAACTTTCCCACGCCCCACCCAGAATGCATCAGCTTTCTTCTCATTCATCAGAAATGCCGGCACCCCTAGCTTCAGGGAGGCTGGGAAACAGTACTTAGCTGAGCGTCTTATATCCCTGTGCAAAAGCTGACTCTGTGAATGAGGAGGACGAGAAGGAGGGCTTTTGGCTAGTCGGCTTACGGTGTCTGCCACATTGAGTATCTACTGTGTGCTGGG